AGAGGCCTTGCTGTGGGCTAACTGAGGCTGCTCTTCCCTCTAGCCAGGCATCAGCCTGAAGAGAGGAGCTTCCTGGGAGAAGCTTATACTCTGCCTGTCTCGAGTATTCGTCAGTGGGCAGCAGTTTCTTTTTTTTTGGGGGGGGGGCAGCAGTTTCTAAGGACATTTAATTCTGCCCTTGTTTCCCACATCAATATGGACAAATGCCTTGTGGTTAATTGTCTTATTTAAGGGTGTTTTGCAGAAGTCATTTCTGCAAAGGCTGCAAAACAGAATGCTCGTGTGTGCGGTGCCGTCTAAGATGTAAAACAGGATGTCTGTGCTGTTTTGTCTTAGCTGTCCCCCCTTCCATATTGTCTTGCTGGGGACCCTGGCCCTACCTCACTGTCCTGCTAACTCAGTCTTCGAAGCCCCAGGCGATGACTGGTGACACAGTCTTCCACCGCTCCCTCCTCAGGGCCCATATCTTAACTCTCTTCTCCCACGAAACTGGCTCTTCCCCTCAATGACCCATGTCAACTATGGTACCTCCTCCTGGTGACTTTGACTTGATTTCCCTTTCCTTGGCCCGACCACATCTGGGCAAGCACTAAGCCTCACCGTTGCCCTCACGGAGTCCTGAAGCATCTCCACGGCTGTCGGCATCGTGGTTTCTTCTGGTTGTCTCAACCCGCTCTGAGCCTCCTCCACAGAGGCTGGCCTTCCTCTAGGGACCCCGGGCAGGCATCCTTCGCTCGCGCGGTACAAACCCTGGCTCTCGCCCATCCCTCAAAGCCCCTTACGTTGCAAAGGGAACCATAGGCTGCAGAGGTAATACTGTTCCGGGACTTCTTGAGATGCCACAGAAGGAATGAAGTCTGGAAACATCATATCATGGCCCCTGCCCGTTCTGCAAGGTGTCCACCGTCAGCCTCCGTCCTTGGCTGCCCACTGCCATCAGGGCAGCCTGTGAACTTTCGCTCCGTGCTCTTCTCCTCCAGGTAGCCTCTTAACCGAAACAGAGCCGGGGCGCAGGGGGCGGGAGTACCTGGTTCCAGAGGCCCCAACATACCATGCTTGGCCACGTGACGCTGGCAAAACCCAAAGGCAGAGACGATGGTGGCAAAACAAGAACTTATTTCAGTGGAGGCCCACGCTGGGAAGACAATGCGCCAGGGTCCCAAAGACTCAACAAAATGCTGGAAGTGCTTCTGGGTTTGTAGAAGGAAAATACGGGGGAAAGGAGGGTAGTCCGTGCAGGCAGCAGCCAGGGTCAGAGGGGCCCTGTCTGGGAGTCAATTCTGCAAGGGGCCCGCTGGCCCAGGGCAGGCCTTAGGATCCAGGGGATAGTTTCGGGGGCTCCCACCGGGGGATGCTTTGCTCTAGTGCCTCCTGCCTGAGCTGAGGACCAGCTGGAAGGTTTGAGATGAAAATGGAGGCCACTAAAGTCAACTTTCATCCTCTGTCTCACACACACACACACACACACACACACACACGGATATTATCTTGTAAAGATGGTATCACATTTTACCCGCTATCTTCATGTATCTTGGGAATGTTATATTTGTTATCAAGAAATAGAATGACATTGTTATTTTTATGGCTGGGCCTGGCATTTCCTGGTGAGGAGGAGCTGGTTGTCCGCAAAGCTGTGATCAAAAACGTTGTATGTATACTTTTTTTTTCTTTCTTTCCTGAATTTATCACTTTAGGGAAATTCCTATGGAATGTTGTTCTGGAATAGAATGTACATTTTAGTTTGATAAAAATTGCCAGCGGTCATTCAGGACCTTGGGCTAGGGTTCTCAGACTCCTGAGTGGGCATGGCAGGGTGTATGTGTGTGGGTGTGTGGCAGGAGCCTGACATTTGTTGATTCCCTGCTATCACTTGCATGTTTCTTCTGGGAAGTTTGGACTTTATATTAGTTTCTCAAAGAGGGCGTGACACAGAAGAGCCATCATTTACTGAGTATTACTGTGTGCTAGGCTGAAATGCGCACATACCATCAACTCTCACCACAAGCCTATTAGCTCCATTTTACAGATGAGACAACAAAGTCACGGAAGTCTCCCCACTCTCTTCTACTCATCTTGCAAACCACAGTACAGGAGGGCTTGGGTACCCTTTCCCACCAGATAAGGAGTAAAGCCCTTGTCCTGTTGTCCACTCTGGCAATTACTTCCCATCCTTGGGGGTTAAAGTCCATGTGTACCATCTCTGCAGGCCGATTTTGTGCTTCTGCACTTTGCCTCTTCATTCTGCTCTAAATGTCCTTTGCCCCAATTTAAATCCTTGCCGTTCCATTTTGAGGTGATCGTCCCCTGGACTGGACATTCCAGTAGCACCACCATCTGGGGTAACATTAATGTTGGAATAAACCCTCCATCTTATTCTGAAAGATCCTTCCTCTTGTTTACTTAAAATAGTTTTTCTTTTTTCTTTTAAGAGTCACTTAAATATTGCCGTGTCGTTTAATGTTCAGGGTGTTTATTCCTGTTCAGCCAGAGCACCGTGTGATCCCATCAGGGCAGGAGCCTTGTTTTGTCTTACTTGGTTTTTCTTTTTTCTTTTTTTTTTTTTATGATAGTCACAGAGAGAGAGAGAGAGGCAGAGGGAGAAGCAGCCTCCATGCACCGGAGCCGGACATGGGATTCGATCCCGGGTCTCCAGGATGGTGCCCTGAGCCAAAGGCAGGCGCCAAACCACTGCGCCACCCAGGGATCCCTGGTTTTTCTGATAATACAGCTCACTGCAATGACAGATGGTTTTGGTTTTTGTTTTAAAGATTTTATTTATTATTTATTTATTTATTTTATTTTTTTATTAAAAATTTTTTTTTAAAAAATTTATTTATGATAGTCACACACACAGAGAGAGAGAGAGAGGCAGAGACATAGGCAGAGGGAGAAGCAGGCCCCATGCACCGGGAGCCCGATGTGGGATTCGATCCTGGGTCTCCAGGATCACGCCCTGGGCCAAAGGCGGGCGCCAAACCGCTGCGCCATCCAGGGATCCCAGATTTTTTTTTTATTTTAAAAAAATATTTTATTTATTTATTCATGAGACACACACACACACACAGAGGCAGAGACACAGGCAGAGGGAGAAGCAGGCTCCATGCAGGGAGCCAGACGTGGGACTTGACCCTGGGACTTCAGGATCACTCCCCGGGCCGAAGGCAGGCGCCAAATGGCTGAGCCACCTGGGCTGCCCAATGACAGATGTTTTATTTTTATTTTTTAAAGATTTTATTTATTTATTCATAGAGACAGAGGCAGAGACACAGGGAGAAGCAGGCATCATACAGAGAGCCTGACATGGGACTCGATCCAGGGTATCCAGGATCACCCCCTGAGCTGCAGGTGGCGCTGCAATGCTGAGCCACTAGGGCTGCCCGACAGATGTTTTAATAAATATATATATATTTGGAGGGAGGATGAAAAAGTTATTTGTGGCTAGCCTGCCACTTACTATTTAAAATTCATGCTTCTGTCCTGTCTGCATTTCAAGATGAGCTCATACTTGCTGTAGGGACTTATTTAAATGTGAAATGTCATGTGATAGTACCACCAGCACTGGAGGGGACAGGAGACTCCTGCCAGCAGGCTGGTGTATAGTTACAGTGACAGTGCCAAACTGTGCACACACCTGAATGAAATTCCAGTCTTAAAGATTATCTTTTATCACCAGGTGTCCGTACCAAAAGCAAATACCATGTGATTCCTTCCTTTTGACCGTTTATATTACTTTACCTTCTAAAAGAAAGAATAGGAAATTGACTCAGAGGAATTCTTTTGTTTTCTTATGCTAACTGGTCACTTAATAAAAACTATAAGTGATACAAGGAGTGTTTAAGAAACACAAGAAAAGACTATGCACACCATAGAGCAATCTTTTAGAATTCCTGTTCTCTTCAAGGTCCTTCTACCTGGATGAAGGATCAAATTAAGATGAGGTAGATTAGCAGGAAAAACCCACATTGAGTAGCTTACACACTGGGAAGCCACAGAGACATGGAGGTTCCAGGCAGTTGGACAAAATGAGGTCTATACATCATCCTGTGCAAGATGGGGGGGGGGGCTGGACTTTGAAGGGAAGAAATAAGAGCACACCTTTGCTAAATAGACATTTGTTCTGCCATTTGACGGGTCACTCAGATAAAGCTGATGTCTGGTAACAACCAGTGTTCAGTCCCAATATAGATTCTTCCCTGTAATTACGGGAGGGGCAAAAAGCTCTGTTGAGCTATAGGGTCTCCAAGGCCTTCAGCTCAATGATCTCCAGGACCAACTGGCCATCTGGGGGCAGCCTGCCCTGAGCCTCCAGAGTAGCAACAACTAGAGCTACTGCTCCTTCATTAAGCCTTCCAGATGCCTATAGTGAAGATTATTAATCAGATGTTACAAATTAAAAGTGTTGAAAGTTAAAGGATCTCAAGGGCTTAGGTCAGCTGGGGCAGGAGCGGTTGCCCTTCTTCCCTGTGTTCTTGCTCCTTTAGTAACAGGAAGAAAGCAAACACAAGTCTAACAATATGTGCACCTCCCACATCTACAGGAGACACCCAGGAAAATGGAGGCGCTCCCTGAGATGGCCCAAGGCACTGCCTTGGATGAAAGCCAGAGGATGCTGGGGTGGGGGATCAGTTCCAGGAGGGGGGCAGCTGAGGCTCTGCAGGTGGGGATGGGGGTCAGTTCCAGGAGGGGGCAGCTGAGGCTCTGCAGGTGGGGGTGGGGGTCAGTTCCAGGAGGGGGCAGCTGAGGCTCTGCAGGTGGGGATGGGGGTCAGTTCCAGGAGGGGGGCAGCTGAGGCTCTGCAGGTGGGGATGGGGGTCAGTTCCAGGAGGGGGCAGCTGAGGCTCTGCAGGTGGGGATGGGGGTCAGTTCCAGGAGGAGAGCAGCTGAGGCTCTGCAGGTGGGGATGGGGGTCAGTTCCAGGAGGGGGGCAGGGGAGGCTCTGCAGGTGGAGGTGGGGCTCTGCGGTCCCTGGAGCCGCGGTCACCTTGTTTTCCTGCTGCTAGAGGGAACACGACAAAGAGGACTGTCGCGGGGGGCGGCGGGCGCGGGCCCGGCCTCCCCACCGGCCGCCCAGGCTGAGTGTGCGACGGCCGCCGCTAGGCGGGGTGGGCGCGGGACAGCACCCCCGGGGGCGCCGGGACGCCGCGGCTGGCCCTTTCCTTCCACCCCCGCCCAAGCCGGGCCTCGACGAACCTTCGGGAACGCGGGCGGGGCGGGGCGCATGCGCGGCGTCAGGGCCGGGCGGAAGTGTACGTCGCCGTGCCGCCGCCGCGTGACGCACTTCCTGTTTGTTGTCGAGAAAGGAGAGAAAGGAAAGCGCGAGGAGCTGCCGCTGCCACCGCCGCCGCTGCCAGCGCCGCCGTGCCGGAGCCGAGGGGACCCGGGCCGCCGCCCCGCCGCGCCTCCTGCCCGCCGCCGGCTCCCTGTCCTGGGTGAGCGTCGCCCTCGGGCGGGGGGCGGGCCTGGGACCGGTGTGGGGCCGGGCCGGGGCGGGGGGCTCGGGCCGGGGGCGGGGGGCCGGGGGTCGGGGATCTGGGGCCTGCCGTGGGGCCGGCCTTCCGAGGTGAGCGTCGGGCTGGGGTGTCTGCGGGCGGCCGGGGCCGGGGGCGCGGCGGGTGGGGGTGGCGGGGCCCGGGCCGGCGGTGAGGCCGGGGCGGCGGGGGCTGGCGGCGGGCGTGGGCGTCGGGCTGGGTGCACGGGGGCCCGGCCCGGGGCGGGGCCGGGGTCCGGGGTCGGGGGTCGGGGGTCGAGGCCCGGGGCGGGGGCAGGGCCCGGGGCCGGGGTCGGGGTCGGGGCGGCCTTCGCCCTTGGTTCGCCCCGCGCCGGCGGTTGGGCCGGGGCTCGGGCGGAGGGCGGGGTCCCGCCGCGGGAAGGCAGGTTTTTACTCTTCCTAAAGCCCCACGTGGATGACCCCAAAGCCAGAGACGAGGTAGGTCTGCAGAGGGTGGCAGTCTGGGGGAGGAGCGCCCCGAACACGGAGACCGGGACGCGCGGCTCCGGGAGACGCGAAGCCGCGTTCCCGGAACTTCCCACTAATTGTTGAAAAGTTTTCGGATGAGCAAAACGCCCGGATCTCACCCAAACAGCCGGTTTGGTCTGTTGCTTCAGAGTGTGTCATGACCTACAGGAGCGAAGTTTACGTCAGCCTGTGCCCAAGGAAGGGGACAATTGAGGCACGGAGGGTACGTGGCCTACTGTGTGGTCCCGGAAGGTCTTCCGAGCGAGCCCGGGGTTGGCTGGGGGGGAGGTTCGGCTCTGGCCGGGACTAGTCGGCTGCCAGCGAGAGGAGGGGTTAGCAGGCCCGTGGAACTTGTTGCTGCTTTTCTGCTGTAATCGTGTCCAGGAATGAATGATGCGGGTGCAAATGTTTCCGCACTGTGCTTCCCTCCCGCGTCTCCCAGATACCCCAACCCCCGGTTCGCTGGGAAGTTCATAATGTACACTTTTAACTACTTTGGGGTTAGTACTTGCGTGTTTGTGTAACAAAAGGGTGTGTGGTTTTTATGCATAGTAGCCGGTAAGCGGTGGAATGTTCTGGATAAGGCGCATGGGAGTTGGGGAAGTACATTGGCTTGGTGGAGTGGGCTGAGCCTAAGCCGCCTCAACTTGTTGCTTAGGGTTTGGGACTTAAGGAGCCGTTAGGGGATTTCCCAGGAGTTCAGCACCCACTTAAAAATCTTTGTTTTAAATTTGTTTCCTTGATTTGAGATTGGTGTATTTGAGAGGTTTTTCTGGCTGCGGGACAGACTTATCCGGAGGGCTGGGTGGAGAGTGGTGTTTAATATTCTGAAGACTAAATTATGGACGAGGAATGATAGTACACCTGCAATTAAGTGGCACACAATAGGTTTTGTCTTTCAGCAAGCCCCTTATTTTTCGTAGGTGTAAATATTAAGAGTAGAACCATTTTCCTCTGTATTCACTTTGTTTTTGGACACCTTTATTATTTATTTTAAAGGATGTATATTTTTTAAGATTTTATTTATTCATGAGAGAGAGGCAGAGGGAGAAGCAGGCTCCATGCAGGGAGCCTGATGCGGGACTCGATCCCAGGACTCCAGGATCACACCCTGGGCCGAAGGCAGGCGCTAAACCACTGAGCCACCCAGGGCTCCCCTGTTTTGGACACTTTTAAAACGATTCTACTCCCTACCATTGGTAGTTTCTGACTCGCAAACTCAAAAACCAGGTTGGGGCAGGGGATGGTGTTTGCATATTTTTTAGTTTGTTTTATTTAAGAGGGCACTTTAAAATTCAGTAAGTTTATAATTTTATTTATTTGACTTATTTTAAAGGCTTTATTTATTTATTGGAGAGAGTGAGCTCAGCAAGGGCTGAGGGAGAAGCAGAGTAGGGAGCCTGCCCTGGGGCTCCATCCCAGATCTCAGGACCCTGGGATCTTGACCTGAGCCATCCAGCCGCCCTTAGTGAGTTATTTTAAATTCACTTTTCAGGGTTGCAGTGTACTGCTTTACCTTGGTGATGTTCTGTTACCTTCCACTGTTGCTGGGACTGCCCATTACAGGTCATCTGCTGTGTTAGTTAATGGTTGAGGGTGATTGCATGCCTTTTCTGTTGCAGGTTGGTAAGGATTAAGTGAATGGAATCAGCCTCTATTTGTAAATTAGAAAGGTTTTTTTTCTTGGAAATGAATCTAAAATTTAGAGTGGGGGTGGTCTGTCTGAGAACTCTGGTTTGCTTTAAATTTGTTCAGAACACCACCTAGTGGTGAAATAGGCCTAATTGCAGGTTTATTAGGGAATTAGGATGGGGACAGTGGCTAACAGGAATTAACAAATGCTGTCGTTTCTCTTTGATAAATAAGATTTGTGAGAACTTGAAATTCAGGAGGTAAATGAGAAGAACAGCAAGGTTGGTGAAGATAAGAATAGTGGTAGAAATTATAATTTAGGAATGGAAGGACGATCGACTAATTGTAATCTCTACCTTGAACTCGGCGCTTGAACTCACAACTTTAAGATCAGGAGTCACATGTTCTACCAATTGAGTCAGCCAGGTGCCCTGGAAAGACTATTTTATTTTATTTTATTTTTTAAAAGATTTTATTTATTTATTTATTCATGGCAGACACACACAGAGAGAGAGAGAGGCAGAGACACAGGCAGAGGGAGAAATAGGCTCCATGCAGGGAGCCCGATGTGGTACTCGATCCCAGGTCTCCAGGATCACACCCCAGGCTGAAGGCGGTGCTAAACTGCTGGGCCACAGGGGCTGCCCTGGAAAGACTATTTTAAAGCCTAAATGGAGAAAATGACTTATGGATAACTCAGTTTGGAGAAAAATTTTTTTTAACCATTTTTTTTTAAAGATTTTATTTATTTATTCATGAGAGACACACAGAGAGGCAGAGACAGGCAGAGGGAGAAGCAGGCTCCCTGCAGGGAGCCCGATGTGGGACTCAATCCTGGGACTCCAGGACTAGGACCATGCCCCCGGCCAAAGGCAGACACTAAACCACTGAGCCACCCAGGGATCCCCCCTTGTATTAATATCCTGCTTAGGAAAAGTAAGCTTAAAAAAATACTTCACTATTACTATTATTTCACTTAATATTTAAGGTGGGGAAAATTAATTTCTGAAAAAAATTATAAACGGGGCACCTGGCTAGTTCCATCAGTGGTGTGCACAACTTTTGGTCTCAGTTGTGAGTTGGAGCTGTATTGGATGTAGAGATTACTGAAAAATGTTGAAAAAAATTATAAAGTAGCTAGGTTTCTTTCTTTTTTTTTTTTTTTTTAAAGATTTTATTTATTCATGAGAGACATAGAGGCAGAGACACAGGTAGAGGGAGGAGAAGCAGGCTCCATTCAAGGAGCCCGACGTGGGACTTGATCCCAGGAATTCAGGATCACGTCCTGAGCCAAAGGCAGACACTCAACCGCTGAGCCACCCAGGCGTCCTGGTAGTTAGGTTTCTAAGGGTTGCATTTTATGTCGTAATGGAGAGGAATCTTTTATTTCTATACCTCTAATACCTTATTTCAAAAGTTGTCTCTTACTTGGGCGTAGCTTGGTTTTCTCTGAAAACTGTTACCCTGACATCAGTCTTAAGTAAAAAAAAAAAAAAAAAAAAAAAAGCCATTGCGAAAGACTGTGAGGTAGTAGAGCTGCATGGAGTTTTTGTGTTTGGTTGTGTGTATTTGTTTATCAAAATACTCCAGTTATTTTAGGATTCTTAAGCTCAGTTGCAAGGATCAGTTGTATTTGGAAAGCTGATTTCTTCAGGTAGCATGTGATTTGTACCCTTTAATTCTCATTCTACTTTTCACCAGCACAGGTGGTTATAGGGCCTTCTGTGTGTTTCTTTAGGGTAGGCCTAGAATCATCACTTCTGTGCTCCCTTTGTGCCTAAGGCCCACAGTGCTGAGAAAACATGATTTGGGGTGGATCTTTGTCCTGCTTACTCTTCGTGTTTCATAATGGAATCCAGACTTCAGGAGAGTTGGGGGCAAAAGTACGCCATTTGAGTTCACAGGTACCAGGACTGTGTACTTGCTATGTGTCCTGTTTATTTTAACAAAAAGAGCTTAGTTATGTCTGTGAGGGTCTAATAGTTGTTGATTACTGGTTTTGGCGATCAGTGGTCTCAGATCTTGAGTTGAATGGAAATAGTGTCCTTGCTTTTTTCAGGAATAGGTGATGGCATATTGGCTCCGTAGGTAAGTAGATGGTCTGTGATAAGCAGTGATAGTTCATGACTGTGTCCCATCTCATATGTGCAACCCAATTCCCTCCCCTGTCCCGTCCCCCAGCCATGTATTCTGGGAATTCTCAGGTAACAAAGTGACTTATAGGAAACTTCTCCAGATTTATTAATTTATTATTAAAGGTCTTGCCTGCTTCCATTCCATTAAGCAAATTGCATTGCCCTAAATTAGCTTGATGCCATACAAGAATTAAACATTTAAAAAGATGGTTTCTTGGGGCGCCTGGCTGGCTCAGTCCATAGGGCATGTGACTTAGTCTTGGATTGGTTGTAAGTTCAAGCCCCATGGTGGGTATAGAGATTACTTAAAATCTTAAGAAAGAAATGAGAATGTTCTTTTAATTTTTTTTTTTGTTTTTTTTGTTTAAAGATTTTACTTATTTGAGAGAGAGATTGCATTGCACGAGTGGGGAGGAGAGGGTGAAGCAGGCTCACTGCTGAGCAGGGAGCCCAATGCGGGGCTCGATCCCAGGACCCCAGGACCACGACCTGAACTGAAGGCAGACACCCAACCAACTGAGCCACTCAGATGCCCCATAAAAATGGTTTCTTTACAGTTACCTCTTTTTTGAGTTTATTTTTTAATTTTTTTTAATTTTTAATTTTTTAAAATTTTTATTTATTTATGATAGTCACACAGAGAGAGAGAAAGAAAGAGGCAGAGACATAGGCAGAGGGAGAAGCAGGCTCCATGCACTGGGAGCCCGACATGGGATCAGATTCCGGGTCTCCAGGATCGCGCCCTGGGCCAAAGGCAGGCACTAAACCGCTGCGCCACCCAGGGATCCCCCTCTTTTTTGAGTTAATAGAAGTAATGAGTATCTTGATTTGCTGGGTTTTTAAGCTAAAGCTAGGAAATGTGTTCAATGGATATATATGACCTTTCGCTGGAATTCTGTTATAACAATGTATAATGAGCGGCAGTCTGTGGGTGGATAAGAAGAAGAGGCATTGTACAAGGAGGGTTTTCTCCCTTCTCGAACATTTTCAGCATTTAGTCTCATAGGTTGGAAAGGAACAAAGGAGGTTTTTGTTTTGCAAGCAGAGCAAGGTTTCTTAGATGTTAGGTGAAGAGGTATTTGCGAAAGGTCTTTTTGGAAAGATGGTCACTTCTGCCCAGTAACATCTTACGTGGTAGGTGGCCAGTATTTGGGATATGGAATAACAACATTCTGGAATGTGGAGGGGTCTAAGTCATCCACGAGGCTTGAGGATCTTGACTCAGGGATAGTCTGTAGAGGTCTGAGAGGCTAATATATAGCAGTCATGTTGGGCACATACCTTTTTTTTTTTTTTTTTTTTAAGATTTTATTCGTTTACTCATGACAGACACAGAGAGGCAGAGACATAGGCAGAGGGAGAAGCAGGCTCCATGCAGGGAGCCTGACGTGGACTCGATCCCGAGTCTCCAGGATCACACCCTGGGCTGAAGGCGGCACTAAACCGCTGGGCCACCAGGGCAAGGCACATACATTCTTGAGGTTTTTTTTTCTCTTTTAGAAAAAGCAAAACCAAGGTTTCATAACTGAAGGGGGCCAACTAGGCTGTGCAGAAAACTTGCTTTTTTAGAGCTAACTCATCCTGGAGCACCTCACGTAGCTCATCAGATAACTGATGTTTTTTTTAGGCAAAGCTGATAGTAGAGAAGTTTCAGGCACGAGAGTACAGGGAGGCCAAGCAGTGCCTCCTAAATCACATGAAGCTCTTTGGGTAAAGGGGCTGGGTAAGGGGATATCGAGATGGATTTGATCCCACCTTTTCCCTGAGGCCAACCTTCATTGCTGTTTCCTCATCTTTGCCTTATTCCCTGCAGATCATTTGTTTCTGCAGCTAGTTTCTGGGGCCAGGTGGGGGAAGGTGGTATTTGGAGAGGGGTAGTAATTTTGTACTGGCTAAGCTGTGTCC